TCTATACTTTGTTATTGGCATTGAATTCACAACAAATTGGTGCGATGAGCGTGGAGAAGATGCCTTCAACAAAATATGAGATTGAAAAGTTCACCGGAGTGAATGATTTCGGTCTATGGCGCTTGAAGATGAAAGCCCTACTGGTTCAGCAGGGTTGTTTGGAAGCGTTGAAGGGAGCGACGGCGATGGACGCTGCGTTAACAGAAAGAGAGAAGACGGCCATGATCGAGAAAGCACACAGCGCAATTTTGTTGAGCCTTGGTGATAAGGTTCTTCGACAGGTATCAAAGGAGACGACGGCATCAGGGTTATGGGTGAAACTTGAAAGTTTGTATATGACCAAATCTCTGGTAAATCGACTCTACCTGAAGCAAGCTTTGTATTCATTCAAGATGATTGAAGACAAAGTGTTGGCTGAGCAGTTGGATATGTTCAACAAGCTGATTCTTGATCTTGAAAATATTGATGTAAAGATTGATGATGAAGATCAAGCGCTGTTATTGTTGTGCGCTTTGCCCAGATCACATGCTCACTTCAAAGAAACCCTCTTGTATGGAAGAGAGTCCCTGACCTTTGAAGAAGTTCAATCAGCTCTATACTCTAAGGACTTGAACGAACGTAAGGAGCATAAACCTTCGACGGTTGGTGAAGGTTTGGCTGTTAAAGGAAAATTCGACAAGAGGAAAGGTAAACATCAGTCGAAGTCTTATAGTGGTGATGCATCTGGTATTAGATGCTATCACTGTAAGAAAGTAGGTCACACAAGAAAGGTGTGCCCTGAACGCCTGAAAGATCATGGAGGTAAGGATAATGGCAATGCAGCTATTGTCCAAGATGATTTCGAATCATCTGATGTTCTTGTGGTTTCAAGCAACAACTCGTCGAAGGAGTGGATTATGGATTCTGGATGCACTTGGCACATGACTCCAAACAAAGACTTGTTCGAGGAATTATGTGATCAAGATAGTGGATCTGTATTGCTGGGAAACAACAAAGCTTGCAAGATTGCAGGCGTTGGATCTGTGAGATTCAAGCTCCATGATGAGTCAATAAGATTGTTGACTGAAGTTAGGTATGTACCTGATTTGAAGAGAAATTTGATTTCTCTTGGTGAATTCGACAAGAAAGGATATGTGTTTCAAGGAGAGAAAAGTATCCTGAGAGTCATGAAAGGGTCGAAGGAAGTCTTGAGAGGCGTGAAGAAACAAGGCTTGTATACCCTTGAGGCTGAAGTTGTAAGTGGTTCGACAAATGTTGCATCCACGAAACCTTTGTCGAAGACAGAAATTTGGCACATGAGATTGGGCCATGTCAGTGAAAGGGGTCTGGTCGAATTAGGGAAACAAAATCTGCTTGGTGGAGATAAAGTCGAAAAGCTGAAGTTTTGTGAACCCTGTGTACTTGGAAAGTCCTGTAGAATGAAGTTCAACAAAGGCAAACAAAGAACACATGGATCCCTTGATTACATCCATGCTGATCTTTGGGGGCCTGCAAGGTGTCCATCACATTCAGGAGCAAAGTATTTTCTATCCATAGTAGATGACTATTCCAGAAAGTTATGGGTATTCATCCAGAAGACTAAGGATGAAACTTTTGAGAATTTCAAAAGTTGGAAGACTCTTGTCGAAAATCAAACTGGCAGAAAGGTAAAGAGGTTGAGAACCGACAATGGCCTTGAGTTTTGCAATGAGGCGTTCGACAGTTTTTGTGTTGCCTCTGGTATTGCAAGGCACAGAACTACCGCAGGTACTCCACAACAAAATGGTTTGGCTGAAAGGTTTAATCGAACTATTTTGGAGAGAGTTAGATGCATGTTGACTAGTGCGGGATTAAAGAAGGTGTTTTGGGCTGAGGCTGTTTCGACAGCAGCATATCTGATAAACAGATGTCCTTCGACAGCGTTAGATATGAAGACACCTGAAGAAGTTTGGTCGGGACATCCACCAGATCTCGACAAACTAAGAGTATTTGGCTGTGTAGCCTATGCTCACATTAGGCAAGACAAGGTCGAACCTAGAGCTCTGAAATGCATGTTTATGGGATACCCTGAAGGAGTGAAAGCTTATAGGCTATGGTGCCTAGAGCCAGGTCACAGGAGGTGTATCACCAGTCGAGATGTAGTTTTCAATGAAACTGAAATGGCTTTCAAGAAAACTGATGATGTTGACGAAGAGCTGGAACAGGTAGAGATTCCTGTTGAGGTGGAGCATGTTGATGCTGAAATGCGTATCCCAGATGAAGTCGAAGAAGAAACAGAAGATTCTGATGATGTTGAGGAAACTGTTGATGACTACCTATTGTCGAGAGATAGGCAAAGAAGAGTCATAAAACCACCTCAGAGACTTGGATATGCAGATCTTGTAGCTTATGCCTTAATCTCTGCAAGTGAAGTTCTAGACGAAGAACCTAGAGATTATAAGGAAGCTATAAGGAGTCGAATGAAGACTGAATGGCTAAAGGCCATGCATGATGAGATGAAATCTCTTCATGATAATCACACTTGGGAACTGATCAAGAAACCTGTTGGGGCAAGGTTAGTCAGCTGTAAGTGGATTTTCAAAGTTAAGGAAGGAATTGAAGGAGTAATGTCGAAGAGGTACAAGGCAAGATTAGTCGCAAGGGGTTTCACTCAGAAAGAAGGTGTCGACTTCAATGATGTATTTTCCCCTGTTGTAAAGCACAGATCCATTCGAATGTTGCTTGCCATGGTGGCTCAGTTCGACCTTGAACTGGAACAAATGGATGTGAAGACTGCGTTCTTGTATGGTGACTTAGACGAAACAATCCTGATGAGGCAAGCTGAAGGGTATGTCGAAAAGGGGAAAGAATATTATGTGTGCAAACTGAAGAAATCTTTATATGGACTTAAACAATCTCCTCGACAGTGGAATAAGAGATTCGACAAGTTCATGGAACACATAAGTTTCATTAGAAGTCAGTTCGACCACTGTGTTTACTCCAGATTTCGACCTGAAAATTCATTTGTTATTTTGTTGCTTTATGTTGATGATATTCTGATAGCAAGCAACAATGTCGAAGATGTAATGAGGGTGAAGGCTGAACTCAATAAGGAGTTCGACATGAAGGATCTGGGAGCTGCATCTAGGATTCTTGGAATTGACATTCGAAGAGATAGAAAGCAGTCGAAATTATTCTTATCTCAAGAGGCATACCTACGAAAGATTCTTGACAAGTTTGGTATGTCGAATTCAAAGCCTGTTGTGACTCCAACAAACCCTCAATTCAAGCTGAGCATTGATCAATGTCCCAGTACTGATGTCGAAAGAACCTATATGAACAACATCCCATATGCTAATATAGTTGGTTCTTTGATGTATGCTATGGTCTGTACTAGACCCGACATAGCATATGCAGTAAGTCTTGTAAGCAGGTACATGGCGAATCCTGGAAAGGCTCACTGGCAAGCGTTAAAGTGGATTCTAAGGTACATAAATGGGTCTCTGAACAGAGTCTTAATTTATGGTGGAGCCTTGGGTGAAGATAGTAAAGCAGCTGTCGAAGGCTATGTTGACTCTGATTATGCAGGCTGCATGGATTCCAGAAAATCTATTTCTGGATATGTTTTCACTATGTTTGGTACAGCAATTAGTTGGAAAGCAACTCTTCAAAAGGTTGTTGCCTTATCAACTACTGAAGCAGAATATATTGCCCTAACTGAAGCTGTGAAAGAAGCATTGTGGCTTGAAGGTTTTGCAAAGGAACTGAAACTTCAAGGTCAAGGTATCACTGTTAAATGTGATAGTCAAAGTGCAATACACCTGTCGAAGAACTCAGCCTATCATGAGCGAACCAAACACATAGATGTGAGGCTGCATTTCGTCAGAGGGGTAATCGAGCGTGGAGAAGTCCAAGTGCTGAAGGTCTCGACAGAACACAATGCTGTTGATATGATCACCAAAACATTGCCAAGTTGCAAGTTTTTCCACTGTATGCAGTTGATAAAGCTGCATGAAGAAAGCTAGTTAATGTCTCTTGATGTTGTAGAGTTAGGTCCAAGGTGGAGATTTGTGGGATTTTGGATCGAACTCTAGTATGGTCGAAGTACATGCTGTAGTCGAAGAAGGGTCTAGCATGTATTTGTCGAAGATGCTTATTAAATTAGGTTTTAGTGTTTAAACCCTAATTTGTTAAGTTAGCTTGTTTATTAAGTTAGCTTGTATAATGGGCCTTGTGGAAAAAGCCCATTAGTTAGTATGTTAGGTTTTATTATAAATAGCATACTAGTCTCTCATCATTGCAACACAGCAAATCCTAATATAGGGTGAGAGGGTTATTTGTTATTCTTGTAAACTTGCAATCTTGTTTTCGAAGAGAAAGTAAAGAATAGCAGTTATAACCAATTCTTGTGTTCTTCTTCTTCCTTGTTCTTTATTCCTCCCTAATTCTATACTTTGTTATTGGCATTGAATTCACAACAACACATATATACAAATACAATCAATTTCTCTAGACCTTTCAAATAAATATTTTATCTTTTCTTGAATCATAAGAAATGAAGTTTGGAGGCAACAAAATAGTCCTCAATGTTACTTGGTCTTATTCAACGTAGTGAATAAATTAGAGATTTTGAGGATGGTAATGAAAAGGCGTGATTCCAATCCTAATATAATATAATTATTATTGACTTTTTGCAAGTTACTTTCTAAAATCAATTATTTTATTTCTTGAATACACGATACTTTGTAGCTCGGTTATAATTTAGTTATAAAAGTGTCTATATTGTTTAATTAATTATTACATAATCTAACAAATCTAGTGAAGACGTAACTATCAACTTTATTCATCGACATGTTATGCAAACTATCAAACTTTGAATGTACAATTAATTTAATAATTTTCATTTTTAAAATAAAAGATTTAAATATTATAACCACGTGATTGATCATAAAGCATTATTGTACCATATGACCTATATATCAACCTTTTATTTCTTGAATACACGATACTTTCAACATAATTTCAGATGGATAACATATTCTCTAGACAGCACCCAACTCAACTTCACTTGGCCTTTCAAATAAATATTTTATCTTTTCTGGAATCATTTGATAGATCTCTTTTTGATACTTATAGTACAATACCACCAAACCCAACATGAATATCCACAAGCCCAAATAAATGAAAGCAACCATAGGAGAAATAATCATGAGAGCTATTACAGCAACAACAGTTCCAAGTAAGAGGAAAATACCCATCATGAGTGCAACCTCAAGCTGCAACACTGTGGCTAGCACTAAAGCCATGTAGTAAAGAGTAACCATGAAAGCCAAAGCCTTCATTAGTAGACCTGTTTCCTTGCTTGTTGTATTCATTGATGCAAATCCGATTATTGCTAACAATAGCCCAAAATATTGGCCCAGTACTTTTCCAACTTCTTTCAAGCTACAAAGGATAGTGAAATGATAATAATATTTGCTTGGAATAATATAGGTTATTATATTTTGAATCAATAGAGAAATGAAGAGAACAAGTAGTGACTAGAATTATTGAAGTACCTTGTTGAATCTGATGATGAAGATGGACTTGGTGGTGTTTCTCCTTCAGGCATGCTTCTTGTAACTCAACCTTTGGTGTGACAAATTCAAAGGAAAGAGAGAATATAAAGCGTATAAGTGCTAAGGGCAAAGTGGTAATGTTCAATACATTACCAAAAGTGGTAATGTTCAATACATTACCAATATTCAATAATATAAAAAAGTGAAATGTCGTCAGACGCTATGTTTTATAATTTTTTAATATTTTATTTAACCTTGATTTGTGCTTGTATATATCATTTTTAATATTTTATTTAACCTTGATTTGTCCTTGATTTAATAGTTTTCATCTTTCCCCAACATTTATCGCATCAACCTCAATAATATGAATTTTCATCTTCCCCCAACATTTATCGCATCAACCTCAATAATATCATTCATGTATATTCATGTATGGATGTAAGAATGCATGAAATGGTGACAAGTAAAGATGTCTTGGAGATTTGGTGGACGGTTGGCTACCAATCGACATAGTTGATAGTTGACTTGTTGTTAGTTTTGTTCATGATCTCTTCGTAGTCTGTCACTCCTGAGAGCCCTCGGCATACTTGTAACACCCCAAAATAATTAGATTATTTATTTAATTATTTAATTGTATTATTAGAGTAATTGTGATGTATTAGCGAGTTTATATGATATTTTGATGAATATGATGTGTAACGTGATGTTATGTGTAGTACAGTGGAAAATAAAGGGACATTTGTGTAGTTTAAATAATTTTAGATAATTAGTTTTAATTATTTAGAATTATTGCTAATAAAATAAATAGAATATAAAGCGTATAAGTGCTAAGGGCAAAGTGGTAATGTTATGAGAATTAGTGAGGGTAAGATGGGAGGACCATAGAAATGGTCCAAGGGTTAAACAAGGAATAAAAGGAAAAGTGCATCAATGTGTACGATCGTGAAAATAGTTGGAAGAGCGCAACAGAGCTAGGACAGGAAGAGAACAAATGAATTTTTGGTAGAACACAAAGAAGAAGATCAAAGCTATAATCTAAGGTAAGGAGAATTATCCTTATTATTATGATTGATATAGGATTTAGAGATTTGTAGGTTGTTTGGGGTTTTATGATGAATTTGATAGCATCATGATTGTGATGAAATTGGTGATAAATTGATGTTGTAATGCTGTGAATTGATGTATATGAAGCTTACTATGATGTATTATTGTGATGTTGTGAAACCATGGTGAATTAGGTGAATTTTGGATCTATTATATGGTGAAATCGCAAGAAAAATTGAGATTAGACTGTGCAGAAACCGTAACAGCAAAGTGTTATCACGCGTGTCTCGTTGGGCGAGCAGGATGCTTCGTCGGGCGATGGTACCTCGGCCTTACTGTGCCGGGCGAGGGAGAAGCGAAGGGGATTGCTGGAAAGAAAACAGAGTACCTGTAAATTGTATAGGAAGAGTGGGCTCGCTCTAGCTTCGCCGGGAAAACGAACAGGCATGCTTGGCGAAGGAGGAAAAGGAAAAACAATGCTCTTGGAATTTTGTATAGGGGAAGTCTTTTCGCCCCAGCCTCGTTGGGTGAGCCTCAGGCGAGCAAGCTGCTTCTTCGAGCGAGCCTCGGGCGAGAGGTAGATGGCAGAATCTTGAAAGTGTTGTAACTGGCGTTTCCGGACTCCATTTAATGTGTTGTTCAAAGCGTTAGGTAGCTAACGCGATGAACTATAATTTGGTGGAATTGATGAAACATGATGTATGCTTGTATGATGGATTGACGTTGTTATGATGCTGCTTTTTGTATTATGATGTACGTGATAATATTATGATGAATTCATGAATGATGATGTGTTTTGACTAGTAGTGGTCATGTTTTATTGTGTTGTTGTGCATCATGCATTTATGGCATATATTAGGACTTCAGTCAAGTGATGTGGTTAGGACAATTGGTCCAGTGATGATGATAGGATGTTGGTCCAGTGATGGCCTGAATTCCATAGTGTGAATTGAGTGCAATATTATGACGTGCTCTGGTTCCAAGCGGGAATCAATCCAATGGTGGGGATCTTTGGAGGAAGATGACTTGGTCATCAATGAAGTTTTGGTACCACATGAATGATTCAATAACGTTCCATTATATTATTTGTGACATTGCATAATGATTGAGTAAGTGAGGTTATGGATGTTATGATCTAAGTGGTGTTTGATGATAAATGTTAATGTGATGATATAATGACATGTTTGATGCGTATTGATGATGTAACAATGTGAGTATAATTATGAAGTATAATGATATGTGGATTTTGTGATGAACTCTTGTTGTACTACTATATATATTCCATATATCTTTTATAGTGGTTTGTGATTACTCACCCTTTTTACTTGAAAATGTTGCTTCTATACGTGGGTAACTTGCAGGTAATTAGGAATAGTTTGTTAAATCTTTAAGGATATCTTGGAGTTATTTATTTATTTTCGTCATTGTTAGTGGTCTTGCTCTGATATTGTAACATCGGATGGGAAACACTTGAGTTGAAGTTATGTTGTTTTGATAAACATATTTTCACGAGTTTTACTATGTTAGATTTATTTCATGACAACTTTTGATATTGATGAAACAAAAGAAGTTATTTTGAGACTATGATTTCGCTGCAAAGTCTGAATTTGTTTTTCGATGTTATCAAAGGAGAGAGTGTTATAAATGTTTTTAAAACCCGTATTTCGGAGCATGATGTTTTATTATATGATGTTTATATGAAGATGTAACACCCTTGTTGGTTAATTTATTTGAATTATTTTTCATAAATTATATGTGAAATATTCGTTGGGTTAGAAGGGTGTTACAATACTCCCACTGAATAGGATCACGATGCACATCACTCTTTTGACTCTTTTACTCTTCTTAACACTCTAATTTGGCTTGTACTTCACCGACAGTGGACACATAGGAGTTGTGGATGGATGTGTTAGTTCCCGAACCTTTTTCTTCAATATCCTCTGGCCTACAATATCCAAAATACTAAAATTTGTCTTCAACTCTTCACACTCTACGTCTAAATCCCACTTTATACCACTCTCATCATGATTGGCCTCATACTCTGCAATGTGCAATTTCATCCAAAATACATTAATTGAGTCTAAAGGAATGAGATTTCTTAGTATTTGGGAACTGGAAAGCTGACACGCACACGGTAACCCATGGTACTTTGGCATGATAAGAACTTGATTAATCACTGATTAAATAGCCTGGAGAAACGTGTCGAGCGCATTGACTAATGAAATAAATGTCTTCTGTAGCTTGACGGAGCTTATAAGAGAAGTGTCTTGATCCCATGACCATAGAACCAATGATTTGTATGTATACATATGATAATGAAATATAAACCAAATAAAGTTGAAATGAAGAGAATAAATTTTGGGGTACAACAACGGTCCCTATTCAATCGTCTTAAACCTGAAAGAGAGATTGGCGTCGACCATTCGAGTAATTAGGTAAAAGGGGATTGAATACAAATATGAACTCAAAAATTTTCACTCTGAATTAGGACAAGGTTTATCAACACTGATGATTGTATTTCAGTAACTTTGTGGTATTGAACCAAAAGGACTGTGTCTGCAAGCATGGAGGAATACTGAATACTAAACCCTTATCAAAGAATTCCAATGAACACTGGACTTGAAAAACGAGGCCAATAATCATTAGACTCAACCCAAGAATACTAGTAACCGCTAGACTCGAAAGGTACCAATAAACATTGGATTTAAAAGGGTATACTAGTAAACACTGGTCTCGATAAAAAAGGAACAGTGACCACTGAAAAAAACCATTAGAATATTGGTGGAACACTGGGGATCTAGTAAAGGTAGCGAATAACCATTCGACCTTAAGAGTATAACAAAGAATGTTCTATGAAAGACTTGGATCACAGACGAAACAACGAGTGAATACTCGACCTAAAAGGTACTAGTGACTATCACATCTGGGATTTTTCATTAAAGCGCGAACGATAGGCGGAAAATAGAGTCACCATCAACGTTATTTATCCCAAGAGAGGGAAAGGAAACACTGAATAAGCCTAAATAAAAGGAAAGGAGTATGGTCTCACGACCAAGAGAAAAGGGTAAGGGAGTCAATTACTCAAGGGGAAGGTGTTAGCACCCCTCACGTCCGTGGTACTCCATGGTATCCACTCAAGTTTATTCTAATCTAAAGGGTGTAAAAATCTAAGTTTAAAGATAAATACTACAAGGGAATGCATGTAATGCAAAGTATATACAAAAGAATGTTTTTATTAGTTGTGCCCGCCGCAGTTGTGAACTAATAAATGGATATGCTACGCGTTTTGAGGATGCGATGGTATGTGTTGATAACTATATGCAAAGTAAGACAAGAGAAGAGGAAAAATTCATCAGGAACTACAATTTGCTGTCTCGAGATGCCAATACGGATTGGTGCTGCTGGGGATTGAATACCAAAGATTATTTGTAACTCCACTGGGGATAATGAAAGGCTATTCGGGGAAGAGTTATTGTCTAGCTTGGGGAGAAATAAACTCCTGAAGGTGATATGTGGTGAAGACTTGTTGGGGAAGAACTAAATCATTCTTATCTCTTCTTGAAAGAAAAGTTCGATTTGATTTCAGGGGGGAAAGATAACATGGATCTTTTAAAATACCCTGAATCTACTCCTTCATTGGGGATTTTGGACCTTTATTGAAGAATCTTTCTCTTTGGGGAATCATATGGAATTTTCTAGACTGTCCCAAGTCTTCTCTATTGGGGATCAATGATCATTTACGAGAACCATATTCTTGAAAGACATCTGGACCGCCCCAGGCTATATTTTCTGCTGAAATTGGGTTGACAGACACTTGCGGGTTTGCTTCACTTGAAATTGAACTTGAGATGCCCCAGGCTATATCACTAGGAATTTCGTACTGAACGATGCCCCAAGTTACCAAGCTACTGGAATTTGGTGCATGGTGACTTCTGAAGAGATGAAGATATTTGGAATAGCATACAAGGTTGGTTGATTCTGACTAGGAGAGTGACCAACACAACTTCCT